AACTGGACTGAAATACTTCTGATTGTTAGAAAACCAAACAAGCAGCGGGGATCATTGAGCCCATCACATTGAAGGATTTAGACCATGTATTTAATTATTTACCAGCAGAATGAGCTCCACCCCGTCAGGGGTTCAAACTCAACCAGAGAAGAAGAAGACAGGAAACTGAAGGCACTTCCTGTTGTCAGGAATCTGTTTCCTCGGCTCCATCTGTGACACCAAACCAACAGGAAGTTGTTCTAATTCAATCAACTGATTCTTTTATTGCTGTTTTAATCAAAAGCACAACCTTCCTTTGGGTTCTCCAGAATCCACCTTGTGTCACACAAAGAATCACCAACAGAAGTCTGATTCACTGAGTTTAAAGAAGTCGGTTTAATCGGACCGAACAGAACCTGTTCAGGTAAATTATCTAACTTTAATAAAAACTGCTGAGGAGCTTCAGATAAACTGAATTCAAGGCTTCGTCTGGTTCTGTTGTGGAACACAACCAACACCTGAACCTAGAGTGAAGCTGGACATCAGGAACCACCAGGAGGGGCAGGGTGGGCCTGAGTGGACCTCTGATGGTCCACGAGGTGGTTCAGGTTCTGTTTTCCTGCAGAGGACTGTCCCATCAAAAATGAACTAATCCGTTCGAGGGTCACATGGTGCGCCGAGGCTCCCGGTTCAGGTAGGTCTTCATGGCAGTGATGAGCTGGCTCTCCTCCTCTAACGTCAGGTCCAGATAGTCCTCCTCGTGGCGAGAGATGTCCTCCAACACCTCACTGACGAGCTGTTTGTCCTCTGAGGACAGAAAGTTTAATTACTGATGGCAGTTCAGAGACTCACACAGATTTTATAAAGTATTTCCAACAATGGTCATTCAGGTCTCTGGACAGTTTCTTTTTTGTTGAGACGTTTCGCTCTCTATCCGGAGGGCTTCAGCAGTCTGAGGAGTCACAAACAAAATGTTTTCCCCACCAAGCAGTATGCTTCTACAGTTTGCTGGTGATACGATCATTTCTGGGGACTGTCCTGTCCCCTGTCGACAGGGGGACGGGGGACTTATCACTATCTTATCTTATATGATGAGTTGTATGGGAGGCTGGACACTAAAGAGTCAAGTCAAGTCAAGTCAGATTTATTTATAGAGCACATTTAAAACAGAAACTGTTACCAAAGTGCTTAACAAAAATATCACATCATCAGATAAAAAGTAGCAAGATATATTTACAGCACATGGAATAAAAATATAAAACCAAAAACAATTAGAAACAATGAAATACTAAATTAGATCACGTTGTGTCAAAAGTCAAGGAAATAAAAACAAAAAGCATAAACTCAGTCAGAAACAATGAAATACTAAATCAGATCTGATGA